ATTATAAAAAAAACAAAAGAAAAGGTGTAAAAAACAAGAAAGGAGAAAAACAAGGAAACTTTCGGCCGCCGCGCATGAACAGTAAAATAAAATAATAAAAAAAAAGAAGGAAAGAAGAGAGAGAAAAGAATAAAAAAATGTGTGGGACCCACTGAATTTTTATAAAACTCACCCGTTTCCTTTCATTTCTTCAATTCTTTTCCTGCGCGCGAGCTGAGGCGGAGAGAAGCGAGTTGCCGGTGCGAAATATCTAAATTTTTAAGGTAAGAGTTTTTAATAGGATATTTAGGGTGTGATTTTAAGCTTTTTAAGACTAAGTAAGTGTTTTAAAAAATTTTCTTAGTCATCATTCTTCTTTAGTTTCTGAGTTTGTAGTGGTAGAAAATTTAAGATCTGGAAGAGGGATGAATTTATGTTGAATAAATATAGTTTTTGAGGTTGTCAGTAGTATAATAAATGTTCTAGAGTATAAATTTGTTGATGATCTTTGAATCTATGGCTTATGGATCAAATTCTAAACTAGATCTGAAAATATATGTTGATTTATTGAGGTTTAGATGATTATTTGGGATGAGAAATGAATTATTATGGTTATAGGATTATGATTCTAAGCTAGAGACTTAATTTTTAATTTTTGGGTATTTTAGGTACGAATTTATAAAATAAAAAGAAAATTTTGATAATAGAAATTAGTTTAAAATTTGATTTTTAGATTATCAATGTTTATTGATAATTAAAAGAGGAGTTAAAAATTTTACTTAATAGTATTAACTATAGATTTGTATTAAGATTGAAATTAGGAATTATATTATATTTTTAATTCTATTATTAAATTATTTTATTAGTTTCAAAAATTGAAACTAATATTTATAAATAATATGTTATTTGTAGATTGTATTACTGGTGAAGATTGTGGTGAGAGAGAAATTTTAAGGAATAATTTATTGAAAAAGCCACAAGGTAACCATGCTTTTAATTTGTGATTAGTGTTACTTCATGTTAATTGGGTGATTATTGAGAAAATTATGAATTTTGTAATATTGTATAATTGTGCAATATTATTATGAATTTGTTTAATTATTGTGGGAGGTGTTGGGAGACTTGCTATTATTGTTGTATTTATGTGCCACGTGGTACGCCCCTATTGGAGCTCAATAGGTGGCTTGTAAGGGCTCGGGCTAATCTACCTTTGGCCGGGTAATTTAGCACCGAGTGAGGGCTACGGCTCGAGGTTAATGGAGGGATATAAGGATGGTTGTTTGTGTGTATTGTAATATTTTTTTTATATTTGTTAGAATTATATTATTTTTAATTCTTACTTAGTAAGCACACACTTAACTGTTTGTATACACTATCATAAATTGGCTTTGGTTACTGAGACTTTTGAGTCTCATTATGTGGTTAACAATTTTCAGGAGAAGAGCCACGAGTGACACGTGGAGGAGTCCCAGAGGCTTAGTGGTATAGATCCACTGTCTCTTTTGGGTATTTAATTTATGATTTATAATGTGTTATATTGCCAATATTAGGGCTTTTTGTTTATTGTCAATTATATGAATATATAAATGTAATCATGCCTTTCAAACTATTTCTATTTTTAGTACAATTTGGATGACTGTAATTTTAATATTTGGTTTACTTTGGATTGGTTAAAATGGCATGATTATAAGGCCAAATAACTGGCTTGTGTTGAAAATTTATTAAATTGCTTATTTTACTTGTTGGGAGTATAAGGATGGACAAATGTGATTTAGTTTACTTGTTGGGAGTATAAGGATGGACAAATGTGATTTAGCCTAATGGCATGTGGGAGGTAAAAATTTATCTGAAATGTTAATTATAAAATATTTTATATTGAAATTATTGATATAAAAATGTGTTGGGTGGCTGCAACCTAACTATGGTTGAGTTAAATTATTTAAAAAAAAAATTTGGTGTGTTACACATTGTCTTGTACATAGTGAATATTTTGTCGTGTATAGTTTGTCTAATTTGTTATTTCTGTAGTCTTGGCTTGTGAAATATTAAAAATGCATGGACTTTCTGTTGAGCATGTGTGGACATCGTTTTGTGCATAGTAGATGTTATGTCGTGCATGGTTTGCCTAACTTGTCATTTTGTTAAGCTTAGACTAGTGAAATATTTGAAATGCATGGACTTTTGTTAAGCATGCGAGGACATAATTTGGTGCATAGTGAATGTTGTGTCGTGCTTGGTTTGTCTAGTCATTTTTGTTAGAGCCTAGGTTAGTGAAATACTCGAAATGCATAAACTTTCTGTTGAGTATGTGTGGAAATCATCTTATGCATAGTGGATGTTGTGTCATGCATGATCTATTTCATTGCTTCAAGGGTTCATGCAAGTTTTAAATTCAAATCAAACAAAAGGCAAAATTGTATTTTTGTTGTGAAAAAATATTGCAATTGGGACACCAAGGCTTGCAGAGCAATATCAGATTTATTTATATCCAAATTGCAATAAATTTTATTTTTAGGACCTTAATGCCATTCCCCCTAATTTTAATTATAGTGAAATTATTGTTTTTTAAAAAATTATTAATTTTTAAATTAAATTATCTTGCATTTTCTCATTTTGAATCTGACTCTGCCACTGAACATAAGAGCTGTACATGAGTGAAAGATGGTGATGGTAATTTTAAGCAGGTAACAGTCACTTGGTAGTAAATCTTTCGACACAATAATTTATTAATTTACTACCAAGTGCATGTACTCAACATTGCCATCACCATCTTCAACCCATCTACAGCTCCTATTATTGTTTTTCAAAACATTTTTGTGCCTTATAATCCACCTACGCGGGGCCTCATAATTCATTTTCCCCGCATTTTTATTGGTAATTTTTATGATTCTTTTTGTTGCGAGGTAGAAACAACTCTCGGTACGACATTTATGTTTTGAAATAATTTGGTGTGAATAACAAATGGCTAAAAAAATCAAATGGTTAACTAAAAAATAAGGGGAAAAACAAAGCATAGTAATTAGCTTTCTTTTTTATTCCATGACTTGATATTTTGAAAAATCCAAGAATATTACCACCATCCATCCCCACTAATCCAAATCCTATTATGGAGAATGCCTTTAACATTTTTAGTTTTTTGCTTTCATTCTTGTATCTTGCTTTCATTCTTGTATCCCAGATATTTGAACGCAGCTATGCAGAATGCCTTTAAATTTTTTTTTTTTTGGATTTCATTATGACATCCTAGGTTTTTTATTCAGATTAATTTGCTTAACAGCTTGCGAGCACCTCTTTAAGAAATATATCTCCACCGAAAATTAAATTGCTACTTCAGACCCAAAATTTAAACTCAATATGTCTTTTTAAACTAGACTAACCTCTAACTAGTTGATCTAGACCTCGGTGGTTCTAATATATTTTATTTAACACACAGACACATGTATCCAAACACCCACACACCTAACTACAAGTTTAAACTTGTGACCTCCCTTTAAAAAGAGAGAGAGAGAGAGAGCAGTTTTTGTGCCACTGGATTCTAAAGAATTTTATGCTTTAGCAAGCATTGAAAATAACTAGCACTACGTCTAAGAAGAAGTTCGTCCAAAAAAAGAGTCAGCGCGTCGGAGTTGAATAAAAAACTCGCTACGATTCATGACAGATACTTCGTTTTGTATAAATTTAGTCAAACAATATAACCGCAGAAGTATTCGTGCGCGCCAAAAAAAAATATATAAGCAGGGAGTAATTGAACCTGCAAATCAAAGGTATGAAGAATTCAGATAGGTAGCGGACTGGCTCACACGCTCAAGTGCGCGAAGCAAAGGAATTTATTTGGCCTCAGAACTCTAAATGAAAATGAAAATCCAAAATTAGTTTAATATGCTAGAAATCAATTTCATCTTGAGCTCAATTCCATCACCATGTCAAGGGCCATGGAAATGGCTCAAGTTCCATGGAATTATTATTTTCGGGACAATTGTACCCTTAGCTATCTTATGTATTGACAATTTTATGACCACTTGTGTTCCATGTCTCCTCTCTTACACCAAATGGCCTCCCCCTTTGACCTTCATCTGGTTCTTCATTTCAAGCTTTTTCGTTTTCATCGATGGAACATCTCTCCAAATTTTAACAATCGTGATTTTTGAAAATGCACGACCTTCATCTCTGACGCAACCTCCTACTTCCATCATCGTCAATGACGGCAAGATCGACAAATCCTTGAAGACACAGGTATTGGTTCATTTCTTCCCCATGGTGCATCTGGGTTTTGGGTGAGGAGGTAATGCACCACCATCGACGGTGGAAAGCACCTTCGTTGGTTACCCGAGACGCCATGGAGTTAACATTCAAGATGGAGCCAGAGTGGCCGAGAGAGAAGAAGAAGAAGAAGCATCGCATCTGATGTGGTTCAAGTTTGGTTCAAACCATCACCAAATCCGGATTTTGAAAAACATCGATCTCGCAACTAGAACCATTGTCTTCCTCATGTCTTCCTCCGCTGCGCCCGCTAGCTTTCGTGATCGGATTCCCGTTTTAGGATCCGACGAGTTGCTTTTCATTGCTTCTGCGATTACCGAAGTTGAAGCCTCCACCGCTTCTCATTGCTTTTGTCGGATTCTGGGTTTGATTTTCCCCTCGGCCATTGATAATGTTGGATGGAGATTTGGCTGTTGGTTTTTGGGGCAGGTCGTGGAGGGATTTTTTTTCCCCTTATCTTAGAGGGTATTTTAGAATTTTGACATTTGAAATATACATATTAATTAAAAATTGTACCATGATTCTATATACATGTTAGATTTTTAAATCTTATATCTATTTTTATTTCCATATCAATTTTTACTTTTATATTCATTTCTATTTTCATCGTGCCAAACGAGGCATTATGCGCTTGCTTCGTGGAAGATAACAGTGAATGAGGTAATAGAGTGTGAAGCGACGATAAATTTCCTGTTCAGGTCAATTATCCAGGATTTGAAGAATGACGTGGAATATTACACCGGACTTGGAGTGACGCGAAACATCCAGTGGGACCCTTCTTTACTTCATTGACCGTGAAACACGTTGGCCGGGAAAACGCAGTTTCTCTATATATGTGTACATATAAGTTGGTGCGTGTTTAATTAATTTCCTAGCATTGGGAGGAGACGGAACCCGAACAGTAATTAAACAGAGACAGGGTGCCTCGATTCTGTTCTCGTGCGTGGGGATTCCACAGTGACAGTCTGAGAATTAGGGGATCGACGGGTCAAAGAATCAAAGGAAGATGGTGAGAACTCCAAGCTGTGACAAAAGTGGACTGAAGAAAGGAACCTGGACGCCAGAGGAAGACAGGAAGCTAATGGCTTATGTTACTAGGTACGGCTGCTGGAATTGGCGCCAACTTCCCAAGTATGCAGGTACTTGATACAGCCCTATAATCCATGAACCTTCTCTACTTCCCTTTGAATCTCTGAATCAGTCCACTAATTAGGCAAACGCCTCCATCCACCATCATATACATTCACGTGTATGTCCAGGCTTAGCAAGGTGCGGAAAGAGCTGCAGACTGCGATGGCTAAATTACCTGAGGCCCAACATCAAGAGAGGCGATTTCACTCCAGAAGAAGAACAACTAATCATCCAACTGCACCACAAGCTCGGAAACAGGTACTTAAACCGTGATCCGTGTTCTCAAGTCGATCATCGCAGTTTAAAACGCAAAAAAAACTGTCGTTAATTGTGGTCTGCTTGAGAAATTATTTAGAATACGTCATTAGAATAACGTAACTGAAATCCATCACCTGGAATTGACATGGGATGGGATGAAACAAATGCAATGCAGATGGTCGGCCATTGCAGCCAAGCTTCCAGGAAGGACAGACAACGACATAAAGAACTACTGGCACACGAGCCTCAAGAAACGGGTGAAAAATAAGTCCGGAACACAGGAAAGGTTGTCGCAGCAGAAAGAATCCCAAGTGGAAGAGGAGGAGTCAGGGGAAATGGCAGTTAACGGTGGCGGTGCTGTTGAAAATCAGATGATGTCGGGGGATTCAGGTCCGGTGTGCCCCCAGTCACCATCGAGCATAACTGCAGAGGCCCCAGCAGCAGGCAGCAATGAATCAAGTTTGATGGTGGAAGATGAGTTTGCTTTTCTGAATGCAATCACAGATGCAAATTTCTGGACAGACCCGTATTATGTGGCTGACATTTTCTGTGACCCTACAGATATAGGATCATCCCCACCCCTGCTAACTCAACCCGATTACTCCTTTGCTACAGATCCATTGTGCGATCCACTGCTTCGGACTCACCATGATGCTTACCACGGCCAATATCCTGGCTTTTTCTCGTGAACATATGGACTTTTTTATCTCTTGTGAAATTTGATTTGATGGCACTCCATCTACCTTTTTATTGGTTATTGATAGCACTCTATCCTACATCATAGCCCCAAGAAAAAAAAAAAAAAAGATATAAACTTTTGCCCCCATGATCATTTGTTCCGATTTCCGATGGATTGATGTTAATATTATCTTATCACCCTTCACCGCATGTTCTGAAAATAAATAAAAAAAATATCATTCAAAAATTACTGAGAGAATTTAATATCAACAAAAGATTGGTAAATTTTGAAATATTATTGTAAGGTTAGAGGATTGATTTTAAAATAATTTTAATTAAAAAAGATTATAATATTTTTATTTTTTTAATTGATAAGTATCCATTAACAAATTAATAAATATTTATTTTCATTTAATAAAGAATTATTCATTTATTAACAAGCTCAAGAATTTTAAAGAACTTTCCGTGCGGGTAAATAATTGTATATTATGTTTTAAGAAGTAATTATTTATTAATTAATAAATAGCTATTTATATTAAATAATAAGTCATTTGTTAATTAAAAAAATTTAACAATCTAAAATAACTTGTTCATGGAAAGAGACAATTATAAGTTATGTTTTAATAAATAGTCATTTGTTAATTAACAACTACCTCTTCACATTTAACCAGAAATTAAACAATTCACTAATTGACAAGTTCAAGCATTTGAAAGAACTTGATTGTGGGAAAGGATTATTATAGATAATGTTTCAATAAGTAATTATTTGTTAATAAACAAGTATCATTTATATTTAACAAAAAAAAACAATTCTCTAGTTGACAAGTTAAAAAGATAAAAAAAAATTAAGGATATTATAATCTTTTGTCATCTGAATTTTTTTCTGAAATCAATCCCCAAGTCTTGCAGCAATATTTTAAAATTTTTTCATTCTTATTTGATATTAAATTACTTATGTGGTCCTTGAATGATATTTTCCCTCAAAGAACTAAATTGACGCGCCGCTTACTTATCTACCAAGCGCCACATGACAAATTAGATCTTATGATTTTTAATTATCCTTTACCCGCAGAAATTTTATGATTTCTAACAAGACAGAAATGTGTTTTCTTGCACAGATTTTCCGTGGGTACTGTATTAAAAAGAATTAATATTATCTCCCGCCAGCAAATTAAAGGCTTGATTTCTGCCGTAAAATTGCAAGATGGAGTGGCTCCCATAACGCATACGGTCAAAATTTAATACAAATGATTCTTTTTTCTTAATGCAGCGAATGAAAAATTTATTTACGGCCTATATATTGAGCCATGTTAAGAACAATTCGTCTCTTCACATGGTGGTTATTCAATTAGCCGAGTTCACAAACCTAAGGAGCAATACACGTGTGTTATTTTTAAAGTGATTATTAGTTATTTATTTTTAAAGTTTATGTTATTTTTTATTTTTGTTTAATAAAAATAATTTATTATCATATTTTTTTAAAATTTTATTATATCTTTGTGTATTCCATCTTTTGAAAATATTATCTCTCATTTATCGTATTAGATTATTTTTAGAAGTTACTCAAAGTTGCTTTTTAAAATAATCAAAAATTTTTTTTATTTTGGTTATTTTTAAAAGTTTAAACAAGCATAATAAAAACTCAAAAAATATATTTTTAAAAAAGGTAGGTAATTTTTTTTAATGAAATAAGCTAAAACAAACAGGTTTTAAATTTAGTGCACTTGTGTGGGAGTAGTAGGGATGTAAATGAATTTGACCAGGTCAAGCTTAAATAGACTTGAGCTTGTGACAAAGGCCTAAGCATATACACAGGTTTTTTTTTTTTTAGGCTTAGGCCTAAGTCTATCATTAACCTAAAGTCTTTTTAAAGGCTTAGTGGGCCCAAGAAATAAGCTTTCAAAGTTTTACTAGATTTTAAACCTACTTAAATTATCAAGGCTCAATAAGAATATAAATCAAAATAGGCTAAATTACATATTTAATCATTTAACTTTATATATGATTTTATTTAAATTTCTTAATTTTATAAAATATCTTTTTATTCTTTTAACCCTGACATCGTTAGTTTCATCACAAAAAAATTATACATTAAACTTTTAAATTTAGACAAAACATTCTTACATGTTTACACATTTAGTTTAATTTTTATAAAATAAGAATGATTAACATAAAAAATAATCATTTGAAACTAATGATATTAGGGTTAAAGGACTGAAAAAATAACTTTTAAAATTAAAGGACTAAATTAAAATTTTAGATGAAGTTAAAGGACTAAAAATGCACTTTAGCCATTGAAATAAAATAATATAAATTAATTATATTTAATATATAAATAAAATTAAATAAAAAAGCTTAAATATGCCAAGTTTTGACAAAATAGGTATCACCTATTTAGTCAAACAGACCTTAAAAGCCAAAGAGACTTGGCTAAATAGATTAGGACATTCTCAAATTTTAAATTTAGAATTTAAGAATGTTAAAAGGGCCAATTAGTAAAATAACAAAATAAATCAAGTTTATAGGGTTTTTGGGATATTAATGGGTTATTTAGACCCTTGGGTAGCATTAGGAGAAGGCTGGGATGAGTATTAGGCTAACTGAGCCCCAATGGAGGGCCCAAATAGGGTAGTAGTTTTTTATGCCCCATGCCACTTTGAAAACATTCTAAGCTAGTTAAACACTTTGGTAAGTCCTCCTCCCTTCTTTTTATCTCAATTTTTAGTGGGTTTAGGGATAATTGGATGAAGGTTTTGTCCCTCCTTGGGTTTAAATCGAACCTATTGGGTTCATTGGGATGGTTGGGGGTTAAGATTCTATATCTAGATTTAGTAATTTTATGATGATTTGGAGTTGGAAGCTATGGTTTGAACAAATTCCAGGCTGAAAATGGAAGTTTAGGAGCAATGTGAGGCATAATTTAGCATTACTTAAGTTTATGGATGTTAATTGGCGCTAATGGATTGTTGTGGAAGTGTTGGTTAGGCTAACAATAGAAGTTAGAGAGTATATATAACTTATATTAGTTGAGGGTGTGTATATTAGAATTGTAAAGGGAAAACATAACCTTGAATTCCTACACTTTCATTGAGTCTTGCTATGAATCTCTGCACTTTTTTTAGTGTTTTAGATCTTTATATTTTTTCAGTTTTCTAGGTCTTAATAACACCGCTTATAGAGGAATTTAGAACATCGAGGAAAAAAGTATAGGGATTTAAAACACTGAAAAAGTGCAAAAACCTATAATAAGACTCAAGCGAAGTGTAGGAATTTAAAGTTATGTTTTTTCAATTGTAAATTAATGATTAATATTTAATCATATAGATTAATTATTACTCAAACCTTTTAAGCTAGTGGAGACTAAAGGAGTAATTATTTTGCCACGGGTAACCCTTTTGTGATAAAAAGGATTAAAGTAACCAAATGATCTAATCCTTTTACTTGCTTGTCTGGATGGTTTTGAGTTTTGTGAAATGATTCTGTTGTTTGATATACAATATATGATTGTAAAAGTATGTTTATGATTTTAGAAACCTATATGAAGTGGAAGTGATTTAAAAAGATGATTATATATATACTCCCTCCGTCCCTATATATAAGAGATTTTTTAGAACCTTTTTTTGTCCCTAAATATAAGAAGTTGTTAGCATTTTTTAATGAATGTTCATTATATCTTTATTAAATTGAAAAAAGAAAAAAAAAGTACTTTCATTAATTTACTTTGAAAAAAGAGATTCATTTTTTGTTTACAATAATTAAGGACAAAATTAAAATATTGCTGTGCTTTTAATTAGATAGCTGACTTTTATTAGTTCACGTAATTTGGTTCAAAACATCTTATACATAAACATGGAGGGAGTATAGATATTTTTTGTTGCAAAATTATTTTTTGTAATACTCGAGCAATGCCAGTATATGGTCTCAGGCAAGATCTTGTATAATGTGATTATGTGCGTTTGAGACATGTACATGATCTATTGTGATATATGTGTTAGCATAATCATGTTTTGAGAGGGTATGAGTTCACTCTAGGGAAATAAAAATTTAAATCCATATGGTACTTATTAGCATATATTTGGTGGCTTCGGTGCTCAATCTTTTTGTTTAGAAGTTTCAATACTACTATTGAGGTAGATTAGATATATGACACCTTAAGTTTTCATAAAGGGGAATATGTTATCCGAGAATGGGTGAAGATGCCTTTGATCAAGATGCCTCCCATAATTGATGAGTTTAGACTAGTCTAGTTACATAGACTTGGCTTTGTCGAATTGTTAGCCCAAAGATTCAGTCGGAGGTAATGCAGAAGATATAAGGTGGGAGTGATTTGATCATGTATTGTATACATTAGAATATGCTTGATTGTGCCTTTATTAATTAAATATTTATATTGCCCACTTTACGTGCTTATTTACTTTCCTAACTTGCTTGTAGATATGTTAGATTATTTGATTACTAAGACTTCGTTCTCACCCTCGTGGTTACTATTTTACAGGTGAAGGCTCCTCTAAGAGCAAATGAGAGAGTGATGTAAGCAAGGAGTAAGCGAGCTACTTATTGTAACGCATTATTTATTTTGATGTGTAATTTTGTGAATATATATATATATATATCATTGCCAACTTAGGACATGCATTCTTTTGGCTATAATGTTGTTTTTTTGGTGAATTTATTATGAGAGATTGAAATACTAGTGCAAATATAGGATTATTATTTTTACTATGGTGTTATGATTGGTCATAGTAATATTTATTGTGATTTATGACTCTGTGCCTCGTTATAATAGTTAAGTGAGGTTTAATGGCCAAATTATGATTAAGACATTTATTTGATTGTATGATTATTTCATTATGTGTATTTTGATGCATTTAAGTTACTTCAAGTGGTCCTAACGCTTTTGGCACTTGATTGGTGAGTTTGGACACCTATGAGTTTGTTTTAAAGGAAAAAATGATTGTTTTACACTTAGTTGTCCAATTTGTAATAGATGTATTATTTTGTTGTGAAATCAGTAACATTAGTTAAGTAGCTTAATTAACTATGTGTGAATACTTAAATTACTCAGGTTGAAGGTTAGATAGTGAAATGATGTATTTC